GCCTTGATTTGTACACAAAACTGGTTAAGGGAATAATCTAAACTTTTGAGAGTTTCCCAAGATAGAATTTGCATTAAAGAGACAGAATTCTATGAGTCCATTAAGACATGTAATAAAATATATATTATATTTTTTCTTATTAAATTTTATTAGAACAATTTACAGTTTATTTATGTTTGTTAATTGTGTTTTTTTTTTCTTTTTTTCTTGTAAAGTTTCTTAGTAGCTAGTATGACAAGTCAAGCAACTGATTATTACATTACATAGTTAGTAAGTATTATCAATACTTTAAAATATTACGTTTATTTGTAAAAGCTAATATTGAACTTGGTATTTGTATCTACTTTTTGTTATTAGTATTAGTATCTACTTTCATGTGTATTTATGTAGTGTTATTCTAAATGTTAAAAAAATTAATTATAATACGGAACCGAACAGAACCCGAACGATTCCGAAATTAGATTTGGAACTGACGGTTCCATTTACTAAATATCCGAAAAATTTCTGGAACCGAACAAAATCGAACCGACTCGCGCCCTCCCCTAATTGTAGGTCTGGTTTTGTGCCCATGGGAAATTTTCCCTTTCATATTTAGTTTGTAATTAGAAAAATATATAGAGTCAAGCAAATTCAATTAATTTTAGGGGGAAAAGCAACTAATTCTTGAAAGTTACCTAAAAATAACTTCCTTTTTTGTTTATTAAATTATAATTTCTTTTTCTTTTTCTTCTTTTCAACTACACATCCTCCAATAAAATAATATTACACGTGAATTCAAATAAAATTCTTCTTTTTAACCACATTTTTCAAAAAATTACTATTCCTCATTTTAATATGAAATAATGTGGCCAAACGGGTACGTTCACAGGCTAACTTATAAAACAAAGGATAATTGCATTAGTGACTGAAAACAAAAACTGAATAGTAGTAATATTATTAACATAATAAAAGTTGTTGAACATCTAGTCAGTTATCATTAATCTCAACATTAAACTAAATTATCTGTCTTAATCTTAAAGTAATAGATAATTAAATAATAAGATAATATTTCATCGTGAACTAAGAATAAGCATGTCGGTAAGGTGAATTAAATAATACTAAACCACGTCACAGAAGATACTGTAGAATCAAGTAGCACTTGGATCACCAGATGGAACTCATAAAATAAATTACAAATGTCTGAAAAAAAAATTATGTTACACAAACAACATGGAGCCTATGGAACAGGCCCAAGAATATAAATCTAATTACAAAATCCACTATATTTTTAACATTTTACAGCAGTTAAATATCAGAAAACAGCCTCCAAAATAAACATACCAATCACACAATACAATGGGAACTTTATGTAACTACTGTGCCCAAATGTTTGCATGCAAGAATGAAATTTCATACCTTTTGGAACAAACAGGAAATTATCTACTACTCACTTTTTCTCAGATCCTTTGAGGTTGAGATTGAACCATTTCTTCTTTGAAGATTTGTCCTTCACATCTGAACTGCCCTCTTCTCCAGGACTCTCGGATTTGAAATCACTACTTCCATTACTAAAATGTCCACTTCCACCTGTAGTAGCAACTGACCTTGAAACCGTAAAAGAAGAGTGGACAGTATCTCGCTGTTTTAGCAGCTCATCGACCTGTTCAGGCGAAGCACGTGAGCAAGTAAATACCAAAGCCAATTTAAGGGAAACCAACAAAGGGAGAATCAGTAATCAGAAGTATAAAACAATAGATTGAATAAGTAATTATAACCAGTAGAGCCTTTCATGAAGTACAGATGGTGACCAACATAAATTTAAACATTTTACTCCAAAAAGAGAAGCATAGTGACCATACAAACCAAAATTAAAGACAGTGAACTCTTGAACATGGATTCCCTACATACATGAATTCAGACCTACCTTGGGGCATTTTTGGCAAAGCTTAAATAATAATTTAAGCTAGTCAAATATGTTTATTATTTACACATTTCATAGGATCCAAAACTTCCTACCTAGTTATTATTCACACATTCTATAGGACCCATGACTTATAAGCTCTACCAAATAAGCAGTTAAAATGACGTACAAAAGTTAGTAGTAGGCAAAATAAATTCACAATCTAAAATTAGAACTCAAAGATGGACGGAACACTAACAGTTAATTATATATACAAATATATTTCCTTCTTTAACCTTGTAGTTCCCACTCATCTCAAGTTATTGTGCACAGATTTCATGGAAAATGAAATTCAGAGATGGAAACTAGGACCGATGCAAGGGTATTTTGACACTGGACCATTCAAAACATGAGAAGTATACTTACAGACTGCTTTTCCTGGTTGTATCTATTGGTGACTTCTTGGAAGCGCGCCAAAGCCTGAAGATAACAACCAAAAGGAAAAAAAAATGCAGCAAGAATTATGTGCACAACCCTTAATAGAAAACATCCGTAACCCTTGAATATTAAATTTAAATAAATAAATGTGCCCCCTCTCTAACAGCTAAGGTTTTAGATGAGATGATTCCACATGATATCATAGCAAGCAAAAATTCTTAGTTCAAGTCCCACTGCCACTCCTTCATGAAAATTGGGCTCGTGAGGGGACTATCGAAGACTAAATTAATAAACAAATGTGATACCTCTCTAACAACTTAAGCTTTCAAATGAGGAAAAGTACGTGGCTGGGAAAGGAAAGAAACCTTTCTATATTCTGTTTCGAATTGGCGTAGCTCATTTCTCTTCCTCAAAATCTCAGCCTCTACATCCTTAAGCTTCTGAGTTGTATCCTCATAAGATTTTGCACAGAGTGCCTCAATTGTGTAGCTTGCTGGTTTGAAGAAGTTATCTCCTGCATGCATCGGGCCACAGGTGAGTTTAAAAGATTCTCATCTGTTCTGTAATAGTTACAAATATTATAAACCCAGTCTTTATAATAATAAACACAATAAAAGCAATCCGGACCATAAACAGCGAATATGTGAGTGCCAGCTTTTAGTTCTGAGACCTCACAAGGTTGAAGGCCTTCCAATCTTTTGAAGAAAGCAGCTTCTGGATCCTTAGCCATTGCCAACTAAATCACCACGTAAGCATATTAATCAGCGCAAGTAAACATGTAAGCATCTTAATTAAAAAGGACAAGTAAAGTGTCATACTGCATTTACAGTTGAATCCATCCTGTACACTAGAAAATGTAAGAAATACATTCCAGCTGACGTAACCTTGCCTGTCTTCTCACTATCTTCCTGTATAAGTTAACAGTGCCACAAGTTCATGAAATAAGATCTGTTGACTAAATTAATCGGGTGCAGAAACATTTGGTACCAAGGGAACAGCCATAGAGAAATAAACATTCAAAAAATATTGTGAAACACCTTAAAGTAGTTAGAAGATTTCACATCTAGAAAGGAAACAGAATTCAGGTCAAACTGGTGATCCAAACACTTCATAAAATTAATTGAAAGCAGATACTAAGTTTTTAAATAGGTTCATCTGAAAATAATCGGACATTTAGTTATATCCATAGGCATGAGTCAACTACTAGAATCATACCATCAAATCAAAAGGCATGATCAGAGTTTAAGCCTCAAAATTAGGGTGGATTGCACCGCTCTGCCAGCAATCTTAATCCATAAGCACGAAGATCTCAGGCCAGTTAAATAACAGGATTCTGATACCCAGCCAGATGGAACTATATAATCAATACTAGGCCTAAACCAAATCAAATAAGCCTAACTAAAATAACTAGACAACAGCAACCAATAGAACAGATGCAGATTTGTATGAGTAGAACTTATTAAATTTTAACCTCACAAAATGGAAAGTTTTGAAATGACAAAGGGACAGAATATTTTCCATCTGGTTATTTAGTAAATGGCCAATTTTCTTTGATTGTGAGCTTGCCCTAAGGTTTTGCCTGAGTTATTATTATTTTTTCTCTAGCATGAGGTCCCTTGTGAAATTTTTTGGTAGATGAGACAAGGAGGGGATAAATCATAAATAAGAATTCTAAGGAAAACTTTGAAATCTAAAGGCGCATTTGGCTTGCTATTTTCAATTTTCAATTTTGCAAGACACTGAAAATGTGCTTGATCTATTCTTTCTAGAAATGTATTTTTGAAAACAATGTTAAACTTGTAACATAAAACTCAAAACGCATTTTTGATATTTTGATTATTTTTAGTGAAAATTCTGAACAACACTCAAAACAAAGAAAACAAGCATTTAAATAAAATTATATTAAAAAAAAAATTAACAAAAAAAATTTAAAAATTTTGAAAAAAAATAAATTCTAAAAAACAACTTTAAATTCTGAAAAAAAAAATTATATAAATTTCTAGAAAAAAATAAAAAATAAAAATAGTTCAAGCTCTTAATGATTATTTATATAAAAATTCTAAGAAAATATTTAAATGAACCCAAATAAAAATATTCTCAATCATGTCATTAATTTTTATTTTTATTTTCTATATTTTGAACTTAATTTTGTTTTTATTTTACTTTTGTAGCGAGAAAAAAATATTGATTCACCAACTTTAAAATGTATATATTACTTGATAATATATTAATATAAAATTATTCTATTTTTACTTAATAATCAAATTTCATTGAGCCCCTATTTCACCCCCATTAAAATTATAATTTATTTTTATCAAGCACACATTCTTCAATAATAATATTACACGTAAACCCAAAACATTTCATTCTTTTTTAACTACACATCTCCAAAAAATTACTATTCTAAAATACTTTTTTCCCGAATTCTCATTATAATGGGGACCAAACAAGGGCTCAATAAATGTAATAAAATAATTTTTAAAATTTTCAATCCAAATGTGTTTTCCATTTTTTTGTTTTGAAAAATAATTTTTCAAAATGACAAATTAAACGCGTTTTTAGAAATCTAAAAACAGACTCTCAAAACAAAAAAACTAAAACACAAACCAAACAGGCCAGTAGAGTAAACTTAAAGAAGCTCCCATTCACAAGAAAGTTATTATCCTAGTAGAGTAGGTTAGAGAAGGGACCTAAATCAACACATTTTGATATAACTTCAAACATTTCACTAGACCTTTTAAATAGATTAAACGCAGGAAAAAGTGAGAGGCAATAAGGATTCACTTAGCCAATTCCAAGTTTAGTAAGAATAAACTTAGCTTATTCATGTAAGTTAACTCGTGGTTTTAACCTTCTAAAGAGGAAACGTTACAATGGTGAGGAAATAGTGCGTTGGGCCTTCTAAAGTCAAAGCTACCTTCTAAAAAGTGTAAAGCCTACTCACCATGTGGTCCGCACGTACCGCACAACTAGACCCTTAGAAGTGCAATTCCCAAAGAACTGTATGGAGATCCTATTAGATAGGTAACTAGGGTTTAGTTTTAAAAAAATTTAGTATGTTATTAGTTGTTTCCTACTTGAACTAGATTAGTTTAAACCCTACATTATAATGGTTAGACTTTGATATTGAATAAAAACTATGATTCTCTCTCTCGTGTCTCTCTTTTATCTCTCTCTCCTTCTTAAACTAGATTAGTTTAAACCTGTGTTGCTCGGACTCGGGTACTGGTATCGGGTACGGGTATGTATCTTGAGTGTCGGGTTCATTATTTTCTAAAATATAGGATACAAGGATATGGCGAAAAAAAGTCCAAATTTTGAACACGGGTACGTGGGTATGTCTTTCAAACTTCAATTTTTTTTAACCCAAGATGTCAATTTAAATAGACCAAAATCAATCACTCACAAAGAATGAAATAAGTATTGAATAGGGGGTTAAAATGAATAAAATGAAATTTTGGGATTTAGTTTTCAATTATGAAAAGTTAATTACCAAATGTTATATAAAATAGAAAATGAAGGATTTGATTACAATTTAAACTTAATGGAATAAAAAAAACTCCCAAACCATCGATACAGAGAGGAAAGAAGGGAAAAAAGAAGAAACGGCTAAGAGAAAAGATAGAAGAAAAAGAAGGGAAAACCTTGTGCCGTCGCTCAAGAAGAAAAGAGGAAGGAAGAAAAAAAAGGAAAGATGCAGAAACGGCGAAGTGTCCGGTTGAAATTTAGAAGATCCGACACATATCTCATACTCATACCCATGTCGTGTCCGACAAGGGTAATTCGTCCATTTCGAAGAGTCCGAACATCAGAGGTTTAAACCCTACATTTTATTTCTTTTTATAATATTATGTACTTGGAATAATAACAAACTATTGCTCATTGTTGAAGAGTTCCAGTTTACATAGACACAGAAAATATTTTCTTTTTCGATCACTTTTTTTTACTTATATTTTTAAGCTAGTAACAATAAGGAAGAACTAAACAAAACAAAGAAAAGACTTGCTTCTTGTTTGTTATTGCTTCCCTCTGTTAGTTTGATGCTCTTTCGAGTAGTATTTTGTAAAACGACATAATGAATTAACATTCGATTATTCGCGTGTTACAATTTAAAACAATTGTCTAGGATTTCATGATCATATAGGATGTCACAAATTGAATGCTCAATGGTTCGGATATAGTGAGACAATTTGTGATGTGATCAAAATATGCCGTTTACAATCGATAAATAAAGTTGGACGTTTTATGTTGATAAGATTCTATTGTTCTTATTGAGATTTGTCTAGATTTGGAAATAAGAACAATAATGTGTTTTTGATGCACATTAAACGGAACCGCGTTGTGACCACTCAGAATGAAGCTCTACTCGATTATCAAACAAGTCACCTAAATTCTATGCGAGTAACGTACCTTTGATTACTAGTTCAAGTTCTTTGAGTTACCATGAGTAAAGTCTTAATTAGAAATTGATCTCGGTGTTTTTGGAATAGGGCCGAAACAGTTAGACATCATATACTTGCAATAGTGGAATCTGTTAATCATCATGATGAGACGATTGTCACTCTATGGTATTTTCTATAGACAATTGAACCTGAGCTCAGTAGTCTGACAATGAGATCGTTGGACTTTACGTTGTGATTTGATCCCAATGAATTCTCCTTGTGAAAATGGGACTTAGAGGGTAATACACGTTGAAGGGCAAAACAATCATTTTGCCAATTTCAACATATTGATGGTCGAACAGGGGTTGACTTGTGGAACGATAATCAAGGATATTGTTATCGGATCATAATTTGCTTCCATAACTATCACTCAACTCGAGAGTGCAATTTCGATTTTTTTGGTAGAATAAGCCGGGATTAATACTAGTATTTCAATTGGTCAAGAGTTGACAAATTAGAAATATCTATTGGAGCTTAAGTCTTTTAAGTCTGGTTAGGTCGCTCTCTTGATTCTAATAAAGGAATGTGACTTAATTGGTCTACTACAATAAAGTCCAAAGACATTTGTGCAATTATGAAACCTTAATTAAGTATTATAAATATGCCCCTTGTGGGCACATTTATCAAGTTTTAGGGTTAGCCACATTTTCATATTTCCCAAAAGGGAGGCACCTAAGGAGAACATCCAAGGGAAAGCACTTGGCTTAGCATTAAGAGCTCATTCAAGGTTATCATCTCACCCTTATGTGTAAGGATTTAAAAACATTCAATGATCTCAAGGTGATCTAAGATCCATTATTTACTTGGATCTAATCTTCAAAAGAAAATTAATTTCCTATTATGATGATTAAATCCAATAATCAACACCCCCTTGGTTTTGGTGTTTAATGGTAGGTTCTAGATGTCAGCATCAGTTTTTTAAGGTGGTGTCTAAAGGCTGGTTTGATGGGTTGGGGTTTGGTCAAGGAATAGCGCCAAGATTTGATACTAAATCAACATAGAATGCAATTGAATTAGAAATAGTACTATAGAAGAAGAGAGAAGATAAGGAGAAGAAGATGGAGAGAAAGAGAGAGAGAAGACAGACCGACGAGAAAGAAAGAGAAGAGTGGGGCTATAACCTTGCACCCTCATCCCTGCCCCAGAACAGTTTTGGATGTCCCCCTCAAAGTAAATCCTAAGGCACTCCAGCAGCACATTTCAAAAATTAAGCTTGACAATCTCCATAAAAAATTGTCTTTTTTGTTTCTCATTAATAATTTGAGGACATGTCCAAGTTCAACTGCATAATTAAGTAATCAGAAATTCTGATAGACAAATGCTGGGTAAGGGTTTATCTATGCAACAGTTCTTCTGTAACAATTGTCAATGAGTACAATCTAACCAAAGTTGTTACGAAACGAGGTTCACTTAAACACTTTTACAAGTCAAACTAATTATCCATCAAAACTGTAATTTCAATCTTTAAACCAAATTTATTCAGAACTAGGCTGAGTGGGGTATTTAGCCAAATGTGCAACCTCTTAGCAGGCATGTGTAAACAAGTTGAACCGAGAATGATTCTGATTTAAGTTATTCCAGCATTGATACAACTAAGAGATGCAAGCTCAAAACTTAGGGAAATGAATGAATATGTCAGCTATAATATTCATTCTATCTGATTGCCACGAGCAATTAGTGCCTGGTTTTGAGTTAAATCTCATTTGTGGTGTAAGTTGTTATAACTTACAACTGACATAGAGAGAACATGTGTGTGTATGAATTGTCAGAAATAACAAACTCCAATATCAATTAAGATATGTTGTTACTGTCAGTATAGTAAATTATTATCCAACGTGTGAAGTACACATCAATATACATGTACACTGTCCATTAAGCTATAGAGCATGGGGAGACAATATAAGGGAGAATAATATTTGACAAACATAGCATTCTAACAGCAACTGTAAGAAGTAGCAATGTCCACCCTCGACCTAAAATTTTAAACAACAAAGTATAGGAACCTTGAGAGCAATTTCGAAAATGAGAAATTGAAATGTAACGCAGCTTGTGTTTAAACCGAAGTAAAAGGAACACGTGTAGTATACCAATCAATACAGGCTAAAATAACAAATTGTATAAACACTAAGGGAATGCCGTTATTCTTTGGAATGTATAAGTTTATAAGACCTATATGTAAAACACGTGCCAATAAGTATGTACATACAATGTCCATAAGCCAAAGCATTGGCTTTTAAGGAGGTTTTTTGCAGCTTAAAATTTGAAGGGTTTTTGGTGGTTATAAACACAACCTAGCCCTTTGCTCTTACAACTAAATTACAATTCTCCAGAGTCACCCAACTTTATGGCAGTAGGTCTGTGGCAGGAGACTTGCAGCACATAACTTCACTCCTTATATTGTTCTCAATTTCTTTTCTAAGTTATTATGTGTTATATTTTTGTTCCTTGGCATCTTTCCATATGTGGGTAATTATTTCATTCGTTTTTAGCTCGAGTTGTGGATTAATGGTCTTGTTTATATCGTTACAACTTTGTTAACTTATAATTTGCTACTTTGTCAATTCATTTTATGTTTCCAGTTGCAAATTAAACTTTTTAACTTTGTTGAAGTGTTTTGTAATTGGTTTTTAGATGATTTATGGTTTGTTATGAATATAGTTAAGTATTTTATACTTTTCTAATTATTTATTGGTTTGTGTGGTGAGCGCATAATGAAGGCAAAACATTTCAATACTAGATTTATCCTTTTTAAACACTGATTATGCTCCTAGACCAAAGTATGTGAGGAGGAAAAAGGAGGTCATTGTGCAACTAAATCTGTAGAGATAATAATTACCTGCAAGGCCAGGCCATACCCACCATTTGCATCATGCTCAAAGTACAGGAGCTGAAAAATCACACATTAAAAGTTTTCAGTAACCATTTTTGTTGCATCTGCTTTGAACACCAAATTAAGTAAAAGAGATAATTTCTCCATAATTAATTGTCTATATACTCTACAACAAATATGCGTGCACCTTAAATTTGCTCTGTGCTGCTGAAGTAACTCTAACTACAATCCCTTCTTCAGCTTGTTCTTCATTAATAGTTACACCAAAAAAGTGAGCACATTGCTTTTCTACCTGTTGGAAAAAAAAAAGGAGCAAAATCAGGACAACAAAACAAGTCTTATTTATCCTGCAAAAGGGAATGTGTACCTTTCCACTAACTGAAGTTCCAATAGGAAGAGGTCTGACTGTAACAGTGCCATTTAAAGCATCTTCGAGAACATTAGCAGAAATTGTGGTCTTGATAGGAACACCCAGCTTGCTATCCAAATGAAACTAGGTAAATAACTTACTTCTTAATTACAACAATACAAAAAGATCAAAAAGAGTACCTGAATAAAGCAGCAAACATTGTGTTAACAGTTCCGAGGTTAGATAGATCAATTTCCACATCCATTCCTTCAGCGTCAAGGGCCTTATTGAATCAATTGGGAGATACAAAATAAAAACTAGTCAAAAAGCAAACAACTATTTGAAATATTAATGTACTGTCAGCACCCACCCCATTTAACTCGGGTGGATTTGAGATGTGACGTGTGCCCATGATTGATGCAAGCTAGGTGCTAGACCTATCATCAAGGCTAAATGTAATCTAAAACTACTAGTAAATTATTTTACAAAAACTCAAAACCAACCTGAAAAGCAACTCAAATGTTCCAACGCAATGCATGATATAAAATGAGGACAAGATGCCACTCTAAACTCATAGTAATCAAATAAAAAGACACAACACAATCACATCCAACTTCATTTACCAAAAAAGAGTAAAATATGCATGAATTGACAGAAGATACAACGAGCCCATTTGATTATATACATGTGATACAGAATGACTATCTGAAATAAAATGAACACGTGTACCAAAAATAATGACAACATGCTCTAACTATAAAAGTTAAACAAACTGAATAGACCAGGTGGCATGACTCATAAAGCAAAACATGCAAGCAAATGTCCAGGTGACTTAATGTCAGGGTGGCTTGACTAAGAAATCAAAAACAAGCACGCAAATGTTTGTGAAGGAAAGAGAAACTGCAATTGCCAAAAACCTTTTACCAACTGATGTGGTTGAATATGATGTACATTATCTTGTCAAATTTGAGCAACGTACATGAAAAACTATAACCATGAACTCGTTAAAAGGTTTTAATATTCATCTATGTATAGCATCAATTATATTTTTTTTATAGGTAATCACGTAATTTTATAAATGAAAATCAAAAGATAATACACAAGGAGTGCATTATCAGTTTAAATAAGATAGAAACGATAAAAAATTCGACAACCCTTCTATCAGACTAATAGTTACAGCCTTAAACTAATTATACAAAGTTAAGTAANATCAAAGTCAAGTGAAACAAATCCCTAAATTGCTCAGTCGTTCGTATTTGGTCTTCAAAGCATCTTCCGTTTCGTTCTCTCCACACACACCAAACGATGCATCTTGGAATGAAATCCCAAACAAATTTGCTATTCTTATCTCGAAACTTTCACTTCCATGCCCACGCCACCTCCTTGATACACCTTGGCAGCACCCAACTCATATGTTGCGAAGCCAGAATATCATTCCACATCCAACAAACACCGTCACAATGAATGAACAAATGATCGATCGTCTCGCCATCCCTTTTACACATATAGCGCCACTCCGTAATACAATAGCCCTTTCTTCTGGGATTATCCGCCGTAACCACCTGTCCCCTCACCACCGACCACAGTAAAAAAGCCACCCTTGGAGGTAATTTACTCTGCCAGACCCTTTGCCAGGG